CGTCTACTTATCAATATGAAATTATTGAAAAACGTAACGAAATCTTGAGAATTCAGGCCTCTGAAAATGAAGATTGGGAAATTATTTCGTTTCCACAGTCGATTTCCTGTGCTTCTTGAATAGCATAATCTCACTGATTGTACACAGGTTCATTCACTATAAGAATGGCAATCTCTGAACTCTGAACTTCAGATAGTAAACACCAGAATAAGAGGATTTTATTTCAAAATTTCTTCTGTAAATTACATCATATCTTCTTTGACCATTCAATAATGGTTAAAATAAGTCGAAAACCTTAAAGCCCGTTAAATGTTACATAAAAATGTACCGTCTTTTGATTTGTCTAGCATTAACAGTTTTTGCGTTATTCGCTTCTGAAAAGATTTATATTCCACATATAATATTTTCAACATTTTGAATTATGAAGTTATAAAAAAAAGACTAGCCAATAATGACAATCAATAACAACGCCGGCAACAAACAGAATTTCGAAGTAAATGTTCGACCAAATTTATGGAGAAATTCAAAATAAAATGTTGGGCCAAATCTCAGAATTTTGGTGTTGACTATCTGTAGTTCAAAGATTGCCCATTTTTCATGAATCAGCCTGTGTATTCCAATTATGTATCGGAGGCTTTACTTTAGAATTCTGAATACCTTCTCATAAATGCTTATTGAAGTTTTTCATTCTGAACCGTATCGTACTGAAATATATAACAACAGGACAAAAGAAACTAATTTTTCTGTGAAATTTTCCATCCGTCACTCTGTTTAGAAGCCTCCAATTAGGAGAAAACGAACATTTTATGAAAAAAATATTCATTATCAGAAAAGTACTGAAACAACTAATTTTAGAAACTCGCATGAATATTTCAGATGTAATCAGAGAATCCGTAATATTTTCAACCAAATAATGAATGTTTGTTGAGGTTCTTGGCAGAAATTCGAGCACAAATATTAATTTTCAAGCTACAACCATTTTTGTTAGTAGGTTAGTTAGTTAGTAAATGGTGAGTTGTTCTTCACAAAGAAAATCATCATGATTCAGAGCGCACCTGTATGAAATATAAACTGTTTCAAATTGGATTTTGCCATTTTGGAATTCCAAGATCTCGATCAGCATATACGCATTTTTTTTCAATTCACTGCGACCACAGACTAATTTGTTCGATGAATGACAATTCAATTACTAAACTCCCTTGATTAATGAGAAAAAACTTGGTATAGAACCTAACTGTGTATTAAAAAGAAGTAATGAACGTTCAGTAGTAATCAATAAGTAATTTACATCTAATTTGAAATTGTTCAACCCAAATTACAAAACAAACAATGTACAACATGCTGATTCGGATTATTTAGGATAACGGAGGGATTGATGCGAAAAAAACTTAATACTTTATTGAGTTTTTAACCTGTTGTTGCTGAACTCCATCAATATTTTCAAACAGCTAATTGGTTTCCCAAGCACTCCAAGCAGCCCTTCGTCGTGATATTTTGGGATCAGATATATCCTTTGCAGATCTATATAAACAGGCCAGGTTCGGTCATTGACATAAATTATTTGCAATGTTGCTTCTGAAATGGATCAATGCCTGCCTTCCCAAATTTTGTAAAAAGATTTTTGTCATCCCTGTTACGGTTTTTCCACCAATTTTTTTTTCGACATCTTTCGAGGTTAACAACGAAAGGATGTGCTGACTGGGCTTGTCTAGTTCGTCTGATTGGTATTGCTAGTGAAGGGATGATAGCAGAGATTTCCGAAGAACATTTTCCGTGGAAGTATCGACAGAAAAGTGGAAGGTTGCCGACCTTTCTACGGTGTTCCAATGATGTCAAAGAGTGAGTGAGTGTGGCGTCAGCCACCAGGCGAATGGCTCTTCTCTGGATGGAATCTAAGAGCATCAGCGTATATTTTGGTGCTGAACCCCATATGTGGGAACAGTATTCTAGAACAGGCCGTATCTGTGTTCTCTTGACTTTGTGAATGTTTTCATTGGAGATTCATGTTGAAAAATCCAATGATTGATTAGATTCTCCATCACGACCAACTAGAATATTCACAGAAAGTCTCTAGTGACTTTGTGAAAGGATTTTTTCCATTAAGCTTCTATGTGGGTGATTTTCTGGAAGATGATTTTATATTGTTGAAATTAGAGAATGAATGTATGTCTCCTCCATTCCTGTTGAGAGAGGACATTCTTTATCGAAAATGAAAAATAGGTCGCGGTAATCCAAGCTCCCGAAACAAAGCTAATCCTCTTCTTCATTGTCACATCGGATAAATGTCGGAGAATTCTTGCTCCACGTATAATCTAACCGATCTGGAGTCTCAATAAATTTCACAAATCTACTCAGCGCTTTAGATCCACGGAATGTTTGGTAGGTATTCAATTAAAGTTCGGTTGTCAGTGGAGTGTCGAGATTCGTGTTCCCTCCCTTAGGACTGGCTCTGTCAATGGGGTTCTGAGTTATCTGACCTGATGTCCACAGCTTCAGCAAATAATTTGAAAAACTTCAAAAGTTCTCAGGGATCTAATATCGATATTGGGAGTCAGAATAACTAAATCTAGCCCATCACTATACTGATGGGCTAGATTTTGTTTTTATTATACGCATTAATCACCTATCGAATGTGAACATTTGTGGTAAACTCACATTATTTGCGGACGACACCCAAGGGCGGTTCTAAGGGAGAAGGGGGTAGAGATAGGTAGATAGATAGAGTTTTATTTAACCACTTTACATGAGTTTCATGTTTGTAGCAATTAATGGTATACAACAGATTTTATCATCTTAGTATAATACATATGTATATATATGTCAAGTTGACACTTAAAAGCAAAACATTAAGAACAAAACAAATCAAAAAGACACACATATTGTGTACAGTAAAAGAAACATATAAGGTACATGTACATGATTCGAAAATTTTACATATATAAAAATGCTTAGAAATTTGGAAAGTGAAACCAGGTGAGTTCATCGGGATTGTATCAATATAACGCCCTAAAGAGGGTTTAGTTTTAATTATTTATGGTTTATTGATGAGTTCGTGGAGTTGGAGTATCATGTGTTCATGGTTAAATGAGAGGAATTCCTCACTTGAATTGAATGCATGTGATGATAAATGATTTTTCACCCATTTCTTGAATTGGATAAAATTCGAAGATTTAACAGCTGGTGGTAAAACATTGAAAAATCTGACATTTATAGAATTTTGCTGGTAATTACCCCTTTCCCCCCTCCCCCCAGAAGATAACGACAGATACATATTTCAAACAAGAAAATTAACAACAATTTGAAATTATAAGAGCCGCTTTCATTGTTTTTCAGTAAAATGATTATGCTTTTTCAATCGTTATTTATTGCATTAAAATTTTACTGGTCTGGAAAAAAATGGAGTAGATAGATTATCGTGTTGTGTACATTTTATAATTTTTTTTGTAGGCTTATTAGAAGGTAGAAATTGTAAGATGCGTACCTCAACCAGAGCTATTTCTTTGGTAGCATTTCTATAAAGTGAGTTGATACATAGATTGATATGAACCCTGGATAAACAGTGAATTATTTTCTTTCATCACTTTATTGTTCTATTCGGTTTCTATTTGAAGGAGTTCTTCTTGGTCATGTGAAAAGGAAACAGCTTTCACACGTGTTCGAATTTGATTCTGTCGTCTTTTTCCATACCAACTCCTATCAATGATTCCTGCAGCGCTACAATTTACTGGCTCTCGGAAACCTTGGTGCAGATATTGCCTATCTCGAAAACACACAGTGTTTGTTTTAGAATATTATTAGTAGTCGGATTTCCTTTCAACCTTCATATTCGTTTCTCTGGATCAGTCACAGATGTTATGATAATATCCAGAATGGGATATTTTATTCTTTAGTTCGGTGGAACTTACCTCGCATACTAGAATTTTGATTTTTGTTCATATTCGATTAACAAATTCGGGGTACTACAGTGGCATACCAAATTCAAAAACGTCATTTCTGAATCAAAATCAAAATAGTCTATACAACGTCCCAATTCCGGAGACACCACTTAATATAGCCATCAGCCATTTTTCTGATGGTATTAGGATCAAGAAAAGAACAATATTATATTATGTAACAAGTGTTATAAACTTCCTTTCAGTAACCAGTATTTTAAGCACGAGCGCAGCAGCTATAATACCTCGCTGGCTACTGAACAAAATCTGTTGAATAATCACTAAAAGAATTTAATTATAAAATTTCATCTGATATTGAGAATTTGCATTCTGCTTCAGATTTCACATTAACATTAGATTGGATTCAAAAACATGCAGTTCCAATCAGAATAATAAAGAAGAATCGCTACCATGTTACCATGTATCACAGATTGGTAATTATATATTTCAATATCATAACTCTCCACACATAAACGCTCTGTTCATTATACCGAAATCATCATCATCATTAAAAGTTGTAAAGAAAACTTCGACTATTCTTTCCTTCGAGAAGGTAACAATGATTCATTCGCGATTGAGCTACTGAATTTATAGAAGTTACATATGAATATGCTAGTGTTTATATTCATTCGATATCCCGAGTTGTATATACATACCTATACCTTTTTCTCTATTCGTTTTTCCGGATTTTATAGAGAGCTTGGTAATGGATTTATAATTGACTACCTCACAGTATTCCACTGCAATTATAAAAACACTGAATAGAGCGTTTTGTCCATTATCCAGGGTAAGCTTTCTTGCCTTCAACGTATCGATATTCGTTTCGAGATAGAAATGATTTATTGCATGAAGAAGATCTCTTCTTTGTCAAACATGTTGAAATTCTTATCGGATACCTACGACCCATATTCCAGTCATTTAAGGTCCAACCCGTTCGAAGGTTCAGTGGACTGAATAGGTTATCGAAAAGGCAATTCGAATCTGTTGGTTGCGATCTAATTGACCTGATTTGCGATTTCTTCTACCATCGGCCAGAATTCAACGTTTATACTAATGATGTTGTTTCAGTTGCCGTACGTAATAGCGGTGAAGTATAGCCATGGAAGCCGAGGAGCCCTACTTGCCCCGCAGATGAATATTTCATCAACTGGTGTGATACCGACATCTGTGCAGACGTTCAGGTTTGTATATTAAACCCACCAGAAACGTGGGTATATTCGGAATGGGAGGAATTTTAAATTTCGGTTCGATATTGGATATGGAAAGTTAGGTCTGACTTAATTCAGTCGGTAGAATGTATCAGTCGAGTAGGTACTCCAAGATTTCGATATGATATTTGTTTCCAAATCATGTTCACTTCATATCTCATTTTCAATAATGTCTGACCTCCTTGTTCATGAATTTCCTATAACTGCGAAGAAGGACATTTTTTTCAAGAGCAACTCTGAGAAAATATTCCTCATATAGTAGGAACAGGCTTCTTCGGAGAGCATGAAGCAGCTGAACGGTGATAGTACTCCTAATCACTTTTGCAATAAAGAGTGCTCACACCATCTTGATGTGACGTGTTCTTTGAAGATGACTGTATCTACATACATCAGCCATTCCACATTAGCTGATTGAAGCGAAGTTCACATGCAAACGCATTTTCTGCTTTGCATCTTTGAAATCTTGCAGTAACTTGAAAATCTCACAGCAGCCTATGTAAGGCCCAACGACAATTCAACGATGTCAAAGTTGGTGTCTTTCCAGATATACAGGGTGAGTCAAAATTGTGTACCGTGCTTCCTGGAGGTGGTATACTTTGATTCAAGGGAGATATATCCTTCGAAAGTTGATAAAACTTCTAAATGGTGCAAGCCACCAGATTGAAATTATCTGCATGAATGTATGTTGTTAAAATACATGTTTCTGATACCCTTCTACATTTATAATATCGTTATGAAGGGTGTTTTCAGAGGGTGGGTCATAAATTTTTGGAGAAAAATTCTATTCTTGTATTCGTTTTGGTAAAAAATATGTGCATTTGATGAAGCTAAGAGAATTACATGAAAAAAGGTACTTATATCGAAATACAAAAAATTGAACCGTTTTCGAGATATTTGAGTTTTTGTAGTCACCTGATACCAGCAGATTAACTTATCGGTAAAAATATGTTAGGAGGTCATGAGCAATTTTGTTCTTAGATTTGACGTTTATGACATCAACATTGTTATTGTTGATGATGTTGATTTTCTTGAATGTATTTCTTGGTTAATAATAATATTATTACTGCGATTTTCAACTGAGATTTCAAGAAATGGCCAGGTTATTACGCAGAGATGTTTCCCACTCGACACGTTCCAAATTCTAGAACAATTTTGAGGATTTTGCAAATATTGTTTGAAAAAGATTGTTTCGAAACGGAAAGTAGAGATGGTGGCCTGCCTAGAAATTCGCGGCTTCCTAAAATATTGAGAACTGAATAATTCATCTGCAGATATCATGTCATACTACAAAAACTCAAATATCTCGAACATGGTTGCATTTTTTGTATTTTGAAAAGAGTACCATTTCTTGTAATTTTTTTCGCTCTATCAAATGATTCTGTTTGTTCGCCAAAAAGAATACAAGAAATAAAGTTGTCTTCAAAAAATCATGACCCACCCAATGTAAAAGAGTATCTTATCAACATACATTTAGGCAGAAAATCAATCTGTTGGCTTTTACCGTTTAGAAGTTATGCGGAAAATTCATTTTAACTTGATAAACTTTGGAAGGATATATCTTCCTCAATATACATTTTGGGCCAATTGTTTATTCATCAAACCATACTTATATTTTTCAATGTACTATCTCCTCCAGAACGCTCCATACACATTTTTGACTCACCCTGTATATGAATATTTTTGAACATTACCTATTGTTCATTGTTTATTTTCATACTTTTCAGCATAAAACTGATCTGTACCGGTTTGAAGAATGCTGAGGTGATAGTTGAAATTCAACTGTATGTCAGCACTCATACCCATAGAAATGTCACTGTACTAAAGTTCAGAAGAAACAAGATATGTCTGAAAGGTGAGTCAGATGCCACACACACCCACATCAACTAAGAGTTTTTTTTTCGCAACATATTGATACCTAATCATTTTGTGAATTTATCTTTTCTTTTTTTCATTATCTGCTGTTTATGTATTCGAGTTGCCTTGTTGTTGATTTCAGTAGCCCACAAGAACATTTCAACTGGAATTTGTATTTCTAGAATTCTAGAACAACAAATAACTTTTGTTGAATCTCCAATCAATTTCACCGCACGCAATCAAATTGAATATTAATCACACTTCAAACGTATATGCGGCCGTTCTGTCTAACCCACAGAATTTAATAACCCCATTAATGGATTCATTCAAACTCGCAAGAAAATATTGGAAATCCATTGTTTATTGAAAATTCAAATTGATTTCAGCTTTGTATGGCGTAACAAGCTCGTTCCGGGCATTGCTCAACGAATCGATTTATATTCGAATGCCGCATATTTTCCGTTTTGAGCACTTTTGACTAGCCATTCCATAAACTTTCAACACAATAAGTTGGCAAATGTTGCCCAGTATGTAAAATAATATTTAGATAAAAAGGATTAAAAGTCCCAAAGTCTGTCGACCACGAAAAAACTGTTTAATAGAAGTAGTGTAACTAGTTTCGGCCACAGGTCATCATTAGACACTAAAATGATGTATTCGGAAGTACCTGAAAGATAATTATGGACTTTCTTTTTCAACTCCTTTTTTTTCTCTCTTTATTTTCAACTCCTCAAAAAAGTCCATACTTATCTTTTAGGTACTTCAGAATGTATCATTTTTGTGTACATAAGTTGAGTTAGAAAACTATGTCCATATTGAGTAGGCAGATAAAAGGCATATGGTTCAGACTTCAGAAGGTAAAACTCTGAGTCTGTTCTTCCACCAAAGCCTAGATAAGTTTATATCAATACTGAATGGTCACCAAATTAGATGAAATACGTACCTACTAGTTGAAGAACGTAGAAAGAGACTCAGAAGATGAGTGAGAAGAGACATAAGATAAATAGAAAGAGAAAGAGAGAAGATACAAATAGAGAGGAAGGAAGTAGAATTTAAGTATCTGAAGTTAAAAATTTTGCAGTTCCAATTGGATGGTATTTGGAAAAAGGGGAGTTTTATGAGGTCATTCACGACGATAGCAATGTTTCAAGAAAATGATTTCTTGATCACTTCTTTGTGGTGAGACGGTGTGGTGAGGATACTTTGGCGCCGGATATTGAAATTGTGAACGTCAGTTCGATATCTCAATTTGTCATGTAAAATAAATTGGAATTTTGAGTTTTATCAACTTAAAGCAAAAGCAGGCAAAATTCTGTGGCTGCGCCTTATACTAAATATCAAACGGAGGCATGAGTATTGCAATTTTTTAATACGTTTTATGTCCACATTATCAATACATGTTCCATAGACTACATCGCAGTGATCCAAATGAAACAGAACCAGAGATTCACACAATATTTTTTTCAAACCTTGATCCAAAGATAATCTGTGACTATGTGCAATCATTTTGAGATATGCTCTTTGAAGTTGAGTTTACTGTCAATTATGAGACCAAGACTTTTCCCATATTCAACAAGTGAACTTTTTTCATTGCCAATATATTACTGCATTGTGTTTAGTGTAAATTGTCTTGTGGCATCCTTGGATTTATTTTTAATGAATGGCAATCGCTTCACGGGACACCCTGTATAAAATTTTACCAATTTTTGAATGATGATGCATTTTCCGAGAAAACATTTGGGGAGTTTGTCCAAAAGACTTCTAGAAGATTTGAGCCCTCTTAAGTTGCAAATAATGGAACTGTCGACAGCTTAATAATAATTAACCGTTGAAATTGTGTGTTAACGCAATTCATAATCTAGTTTGGCGCACGATATGTTGTTTGGAAGCGAAGCGGCTACAAATTTTGTTTTCCCCTAGTTCATAAACTGTCGATTAGCTGAGTAATATAAGGACGTTGTGGGGTTGATGGGGGTGGCTTTCATTTTCTCCCCGACTGCGGGCTAATCAACTTGAAAATAGTCGATTGCATTCAATGTGTAATAAAACTTGGCGAGTCAATTGATATTTTTCGAAGTTGTCGATAATATTCAATGAATAGGTCTTTGTTTCTTGCTAGATGGCCACTTGTAATAATTTATTAGACAGTCCGTGGGGATTCCACCACTTAAAGTAATTGTGGCCAATAAAAAATGTTTACGAGGTTATCATAATTATGTGTCGCAGTTGTTTGGTTTCGGACGTGATGAAATATATTACTCTCTCGGAGTGGAGAGTGGAGTTTGATAAGGGGAAGGTTTTACTGTTTTCCCAATTCATTTTGATTAGTCGTGTGTTCGCCAAATATATTATGATTATTTTGCGGTGTTTACAGAGTGGATGAAAGTGATGAAACATTTAGAGAATGTTTTCGAATCATACCTATAATCTTTGGGGTTAGGTTTGGGTACTTTCTTCAAGCAAATAATGAAAATCATTTTCTTCATACAGAGCAATAAAATGATGAAGACCTATACTAGAAATTCAATAGTTATCCTCGTTTATCTATAAATTTTGTTCAACATAATAATTTGTCAAGTTGAAATGTCCACAGTCGAAGAAATTGATATTTAATTGCCTACATCTATAGCCTGTTGTCAGGACCATAGCTTTAGTCTTCGAAATATTTAATTTCAATTTATTCATATTGAAGTACTCATGTAAATGTTCCAAGCATGTGTTCATTTTACTTATAGCAACATTCAAATTCTTATGTGCTATTGATAACAAGGTATCATCAGCAAATAAGTTGATCAGATCACAATCGAGCGCTACGCCAATGGCGTTAATATATATTAAAAAGAGTAAGGGCCCCAATACACTACCCTGAGGTTTTCCAAATTTAGTGTCTATAGGATTTGAGAAGGTCGAGTGATTGTGAGAATCTAAAGGGAGATATTTTTTTCGGGGGCTAAGACCTATTATCGTTACATCATAAGCTTTTTTGTTGAGAATTATAATCAAGTATAGTGAATTGCTGGCTTCGTGCTAACGCTAGCGCTATCTGGTTTACAGTGCGTGATGAGACCCAAAAACATTTCTGGTCGGTCTGACAGACCGCAGTCACCACTGCCGGGTTAATGTATGTTCTAGAGAGACATGTATAGGTGGCCCATAGGGGTTTCATTTGGAGAATTGAATTTTTGATCAAAATGTGATGTGACTGAACTGATTTCATCGATGAGTGACATAAAAAATAGTTTTCCAGAAAAAACTATGTTCCTCTAGTATGTGGGGAATAGCTTCGACCACTTCTCATTTATTCACGAGGTGAAATAAAAAACATTTTCAATTTAAATCTTTTCGGAAAAATTACATTTGACATGACATGACATGACACTTGTTTTGACCTGTTGTACCAGAATATGTAAAAATATATAGGGTGTTTCATTCGAAGACACAAAGTTGCTGGCATTTCCAGAAAAATCGGAATCCGAAATGGTTGCTTTTTTTATCTCTCTTGGAGCTCTTGGAGCGCACGGAAGAAAATCCCTATAATGCTCGTGGAACATGCTTATATATAACTGTACCAAATTTCAGAAAAATCCGTTCACGAATGCAGAAGTTACAGGGGTGGCCCGATACCCTGTGACACTCGGTATAAAAAGGTGAAAAATTCTCTAGTGGTTCGATTCGTTGCTGGGAATGGATCTCTTCTTCATCTTTTCAGTTTTCGCACCTCAACCGACAAATCGAAGAGTATGAGGCTTGACGTAGGGTTCAAAACATTCAATTTAAATTTAGATGAATCTCTCAACAGCCTTCGGGAACACTTTAAATATGTTAACAAAATTTCGAAGCTATACCGGCTCTACACTTTCCTCGCAGTTCACAGGAAGAAGTGAAATTTGTTTTTGTTTTTTGTGCGGTCGCGTATTTGAATAGCAAATTTCTTTTGAGTAGTGTTTAGTTGGCTTTAAATCTCCATTAAGTTCTCCCCATTCGAGGGTAGAGAATGAATTTCGAATTTAGCGTTGCAGAAATGTATAACATGAGAGGCTCGGGACAATTTTTCTTTGTAGATCCGGATTAAACCACCCTCCGCGATTTAGACTTATGGAAAGGGGAAATCGCTGCTGAAAATATGTTTCTGAAGCATATTTTTATGATCATTGATTCGTAAACAGAATGATATATTTGTATTGCATTGTGGCTTTTTCCTGTGTTACCTACCTACCAAAACTTTTCTCACGTAATTATTTTTTTTAAGAATTCGAATCGATTATTCTCATTCAATAAATATTCATGATATAATCACACCTATTTTGCAATTGTCCTGCGATCATGCATGTAGGAAATGCTGGAATAAACATTATTGCTACTGACATCTATATACATATATAACAAGTACTTAACAAATCATTTTTGAAGAAATTATGAATGAATGTTTGTCGTTAAATAATTATCCTTGTTATTTGTGAATCTCGCGGATTGACCAAACATACATATAGATTTAATTATAAACGATAATTGCTGACATTTAATATGTTCCATATAGTTTAACTTGTACATGATGAAAATTACCTCATGAGGCTATAGTAGTAAAGTTATTCAATGAAGGACGTGAAACATAAAAAAACACAACCTCACTTTTCTTATTTGTTTACAAATGATTGAAATAGTTTTTCAATATTATTTTGGCATACGAATCGTATTTTTTGGCAATTCATCAATTCACGCATGCCATCACATTGTGCTGTTGGACAATATACAAAAAATGCAGCGAGAGACGAAGGATTTCGGTTGGTACATTATGATTCAAGTAAGTACCTACTATAGTCACTCACATATAGTTTTCATTTTGAAATCTGGTAATTTCTCTGATTCCTCATCGGAATTCCTTCTGCAATAGGAGCTAATAGAAATACTCGTGAAATTTCTGAAAGACTGCAAGAAGATTGGATTCATGTAATCGAACGGGAGAACTGATCGTGTGTGTTGTAGACATTTTCATCTATTGCAGAAGTGACAGAAGGAATTCTAATAAGAAATGACAAAATGTCATAATGAAAACTATGTGAGATTACTATTTACCTGAAAAATCATATTCCTTCGTCTCTCGCTGCATTTTTTTGTGTATTGTACAACAGCACAATGAGAAGGCATGCTTGAATTAATGAATAGCGCAAAAACACGATTCGTATGCCAAAATATTGTGAAAAACTATTTCAACCCTTCGATTCCTCTGCAAGCAAATAAAAAAAGTGAGGTTGTGTTTCAATATTTTACCTCCAGGGTTGGTCATCGTGCAAGCGACCTATAGATCAAAAATAATATCGGCGTATTCGTTTATTGTCATCTCCGTCATAGGTACTGTAGAATGGCCGGCCTTTTTAGAGTTTGGATGGATATGGATTCAAAATTGAATTCTTGATCTCACTAACATCTTTTATCTCGTCTTTCATCCTATATTTTTACAACCTTCGACAGTGGGTAAGCTGTGATTCGTCATATCACGCAACGAGTGAATTATCAAACCTATTATTCTTTGGAATTATATTCCCTACATGACAACCCCACTTTCATCAAGTTACATAGAACACAAAGATTCAGTACTGCATCACGTACTGAACCTATGAATATATGTGACATATGGCGGTAAATTCAAATACCTACCAGGAATATCTTCGAACTGTCATTCAATAGTTACGCCACTGTCCCATTTTATTTATTGCTCTGATTTCGAAACCACCGGCCAACTTGTAAGTATTTATACTCAGGCCTTATTGGCCTTAATAATGCAGTTGGTGTGAGTTTCAGTAGAACTCCTGTGATTTTTTTAAACTGATGAATAGCTGATATTCGACGTTTATAGTATTTTTGAAAAATCTTCTTTTAGTTCTCATAGGTCTGTTCCATTGTTCAATTGTGGAAAAACTTTTCCAATACTCCTTTTATTTTATTTCAGTCGTAATTATACTGAATAACATTGATAGTATATTTATCACCAACTTCAAATGAGGCAGCGTGGCCGAGCGGTCTAAGGCGCTGGTTTTAGGCACCAGTCCGAAAGGGCGTGGGTTCGAATCCCACCGCTGTCAACTTTTTTTTTCGATTTTAATTTTCATAATAGGACAATAGGGTAGATCTGTTGTTAACCGATCTCCCAAATAAAGATATGAAGTTGAGTTCATCAGAAGAAGATTCCAGCAATTCCAATTCTCATGTAATTTTACTTCAACCATTCAACATGCATATTCTGGGATTAGCGAAATTTCGCTGGAAAGGCAAGCTCATTTATTATTTCAGTCTGAAATCTAGATATACGTGTGGCCTGTCACGATGATTAATGGAGCTGACGCTCTTATTACAACAGTGTGGTCCAGTTGGATTTCCGATTACTGATTATCATCACGCATACATTTCCGGATAACACTTGTTGCTGTCAGGTCGGATTTGTTTTCACGTCTGGTTAAATAGTAGGGTGATGAAAGCAGAGAATTCAGCCTCATCAAAATTCAGCAACCAGAATTTTTCTCATTGTAGTTGAATTATTATACCTATTGGAATTGAAAAATAACATTAATGGTACTATTGCCTTGAAGACGCAACTGCCTGAGTACATGTTGAGCTCTGCTCTAGGAAAATTTAGGTTCCAGCCATTGGGTTTCATTTAAGTGGAGCTTGTGGATTTTGAAATATTCTCACCCCATCCATGGACTTTGCAAGGAGAAGCGGATTGATCGATGTATTCTCTGGAGGACCAAGAAGACCGTTCAACGGCGCTTGATGATAGATTCACTGGTCATCATAAAGCAGTTCTCTTTTGACTCGAGGTACTATATACCGGGCGAGACAATTAATCAATGAAACAGCGAATTAACAGACTTACTGATACTGCAGATGAAAGTGGACGATGTTCTACTCACCGAGGTTTCTCAACCCCCCTAGCGTTATGGTTATCTATTCTTCGTCGACTAGCTATAGTATCAAGCTGAAATTAGTAGAAGCTCTCTCTCCATCTCCACATGTCTCTCTAGATGAGTAGACTCACCCAATGACAGTTACTGTCTTGTCACCAGCTCGATTATGCTGTCCTACTTTTTTTATGTTCTGGTTCTCACGAGAAGGGATATCTTGTAAAGTTCAGAGAACATCGTGAAAACCAAGGGAAATAAGGTAGGAATTGGTGTTCTTCTTAAATTTCTGAAGGTTATATGCCTCGGGGAACACCCCCCTTGACAATGTATTCCAGAGCCTAGCTGTTCGTTGGATGAACGAGTCTTTGGAAAAAGATGTTCTGCAGGTCTTCAAAGTGACCACGAAGGGGTGCGAAGCCTCAATTCGACGGGTTAATATCGCGGGGACTGCCAAGGGAGGAACAATTGTTGATATTTCAGTAGACCATCGTCCATGAAAATATCCATAAAATAGAGCCAGATCGCCAACTCTTCTACGGTGTTCCAGAGAAGTGAGTGAGTTTTGTGAGCGAGGCATCACCCACGAGACGAATTGCGAGAAGGCCTTCAGTCGTACAAAACATACAATCTATGAGCACTATCTTCTAACTGATTCTCCTCATCCATATACTTATCTGTTCTCCATAAGCTTATTCCGTTCCATAAACATTACCAGCAACTACCTGTCATGTATGTATACCGAGCGAATAGGATATTCATTGATAAAAACAATATAATATGAAAATGGTGTAAGGAAATTGTGTTTTAGGATCGAAGGAGCTGGATGTGGATAAAATCAGACAAAATCTCGAGAGTGAGTAGTGTTCTGATTGTTAGTAACATTATATTTTGTGATAAAAGGGAAATAGTCTGCGAAGTTAAATTGCACCCACTATTTCATAGAACGATGTGCTATGCATAACGATATTTGCATCTCCAATTCGTGGTTGTTCCCTGCGGAAGAAAGCAGACGAGAAATTGATCCCAGCTATCACACAATATATACAGGGTGTCTGGAAAAGTCATGTCGTAAATGGTAGGGCTGATAGAGTGAGTCAAAAAAATGTTAGTACTTCACATAAAAAAATGCCTATCGCACCTCGTTACGGAGTTATTGACCTTGAAAGTTAGAATAAAAAAATGAATTCCATGTATAACTTTCGAACGGTTGCCATGGTATCAATGATATTCGAGCATGTAAATATACTCATACTATTGCTCCTTTCCGTACGTAAACTGCTTTGCAGTGAATATTTTTTTATACAGGATGGGGTGATTTTTTCTGTTTAATGAAGGCATTTTTGACACAAGTGTACCGTTCTAGAGAACATCGCATTCAAAGAAATACATTCCAACCGTTTCAGAGGTAATAAAAGCTATTTACCTATTTAATGACATCATTGAAGCCAAAAAGATTATGAAAAATAGTTTTCAATATGTGCATCTTGAACTTCAACGCTTTTTCTAAAATTGCCTAAACATCTGCATCGTACTCGAGTACTGTAAGAATTCGATTCAAAAACTCATCCCTAATATTTATAGGTGGTTTATAGATTGAACATTCAAGATAGCCACAGAGAAATGCATCAAGTAGGTTAAGATCAGGTGACCGAGGTGGCCACGGAAAAGGATCATGGGAAAATGTGATGTTCCAATGAAATCATATAGTTTCGTCGAAATGAGGAGCCACATATCACCTTGAATATTCAAAAGAACCTCTTCTAACAACGGATCTAGATGTTCTTGCAAAAAAGTTGTATATTCTATTTACATTACATTACAAGACCCATAATTTAGCAGTTGCCAATTGGTCCTATCCATACATTGATAATAAATGGAGTTTTATCACCTTTGAAACGGTTGGGATATATGTATCTGAATGCGATTTTCTCTAGATCGGTACAAGATATCGATTGAAATGAGGTATACCATTTTGGTAGAAGGAAGATGAAGGAATCAAACGGTCGAATTTGTCACCTCTGTCAAAACTACTTACATTAAACGGAAAAAAATCGTCCCATCCTGTATAAAACATAATCACTGAACAGCCGTTTCTGTATGGAAAGGAGCATTATTGTTTATTTACCTGCTCGAATATCATTCATACCATGGCAACCGTTTGAAAGTTAGACATGGACTTATTTTTTATTATTCTAACTTTCGAAGTCAATAACTCTCTAACGAAGCGCGATAGACATATTCTTTATATGAAGTACTACCATTATTTCTGCTCACTCTATCAGCCCTATCAGTTACGACGGACACCCTGTATATTCCTTGTGGCACATGATGAATTTTTGATGTAATCGTGAACGAGAAATAATAAAGAGAATAAGTGCTGGGACATTGTGTGAAATACTGAGATTTTAATGGTTCTTCTATATATCGTCAACTTCGATATTTTAGATTTTGCAAGAATATCTTGGTTAATGTTAATATTATCTCAAAATATTCGAGGTATTTACCAACGTTCCATATTGTGGACGGTTATAAATGTGTCTTATATGCCCTCGTATATATACTCATTACGAAGTTCCAGCAAGGTTTTTTTATTATATTGTCCAATATAGAGAAGGGTCTTTCAGCCCCTGGAGCGGATATTAAAACTGTGTATATCGTCCCGAAAAAAACAAAAGGAGCCGTAGATTTTCATTAAGTCGTCGCCCGATGTATTTTCAGGTATTGGAAATGCTCGGAATGACTCGATCCTTCTCGAGGCAGGGACATTGGGGGCTACCACAGGGTCCCTCTACGTAGCAGTGGCCTGTGCCTTGGGTCTGATAACTCTAGTAGTCGTCACAGCTTCAGCCATTTGCATCAAGAAGAAAGGTGGAGTTCAGGAACCAACGTAAGTAATATGTTGATATTTGAATTTCGAATTTTCTCGGCGTTACTTGATGGAAATCCATAGTAATTAACAAACCAATGTTAACCCTGTATATATTTCTGTGGAAATTTCAACAACAACCATGATTTTCACAAAATAATGAAAAATACGTTGTTCCACAAACACAGCAGCTCTAATGCCTCTAATCCATAAAAGTTGAGAACATCATAATTTTTTATGAAATCATCATTCGAACACCTTTCAATTTCATATTTTTTAAGAATTTCTTGGTCGAATTTAAGATGCTTAAATCATCAATATTTGTTGAAATACGATTGGGAACTTCAGAAATATTAGTTATTCAATAATTCATGAATTCTCGATTGAGTATTGGTAATATTCCTAATCATCAATAAAAATTCAATTGTCTCAAAATGTTCCCTTATGATTCGTGGTTTGTTGCTTATAATTAATTTGTGTGAATAATCATTATATTAATTCGCATTTGCATTCTCCTTCAGATAAAAACATATCATATCATTCTGAATAGTCAACAGAAAACAACTACTCTCCTGGCTATTTGCCACGTCTAACATTGCATATTGTATCTGTTGAAGATCCAAAAACAGAACATACAAATGAAAATCCTATGAACTTGTGAATTGACATTCTCTTTCAAATCGGATAGATAACATGATTTATGATATAAAAATATAACTTACCAATATATTCATGCGAAGTCTGAAACATGATGTGAATGGAATGGAACATAAACTGTTTTCAAATTGATATAAACTGAAATAAACAAGATCTAGTCTCTAGATACGTCAAACGCGACGTTATGTATTATTTCTCCCCTGCTCAGTCTGTGACATGTTCGGGGATTTAAAAAGATACATTTTACGTCAAAGACAAGGAAGATGTTGGTTCCTGCTGGAATATAAAAATGGAGCGATTATTTTTCTATATAAGGAAACTTAGTCACGATTTTTCAATTCACTCTTTTCACCACTGACTTCAATAAATGCATCTACCTTTCAACTCCCATTAGTGTTGTTTCAGTCGGGTATGAATAAATTATGATACCTTAAATTTTCCATTCCCCTTATTCATTAATGGTTTCAGTTGAGAGAAAAGTTCAGGGGAAAAAATACGTTTTCAATTAGGATTAAAGGAATATCGTTTTACGAGAGAGATATTACAAAGCAGGTAGTTCAAATTGCCACGAAATCCTTCAACAAAGTGTGTTTAAGTATTCTTGATATTTTGATTCGAAAGTTGAGTCGGAGCTGTATTTCAGCTTTCGTAGGATCAAAACCTTTACAACATATTTTCAATTGACAATAATTTTTCATTTCTGTCCACTTGGTCATATTGATTGTCCAAAATATTCTTGAGTGAGGGTTGCTTGTGCAAAATAGTTCATTCAAAATATCATAGCAGAGATCTTTCGGCTATTAAGCCATCATCAGTGCATACCTGTAAGTAAGTAATCAGCTTTTAGCTTTAGAAATAGCCGTTAATGAATTAAAAATTTGAAATTAGTAATAGTGAGGTTACTTACTCAGGTTGACAAGAAATTTTCCATAAAAACATCTTTGATCCTGTTAGGTATTGTAAACATTATTGCTGATTACGGTACAAACATATATAAGAGAATGGTTGGATGGGTTCTCATTAGACCAGTACGATAATTATTGCTCTTTAGAGATCTGGTTATCCATTCATTTTCAATTTTCACAATGTTTGCATAATAATTGTTGCCAAAAATATTCTTACAATTTCTGTGACGTTACACATTTCATATGTCAACTTCAGGATTTTTGCTTTCATTATTTCAGCACCGTCTGTTCTTGTCAACCTGACGAGTAAGTAACCTCACTTTTACTAATTTCAAATTTTTAATTTTTTACCGGTATCAACTGATGATGGCTTAATAACCGAAAGCGCTCTGGTATGATATTTTGAATAAACTATTTTGCACGAAATACAAGATTTGTACAATTATTTTTCCAAAATATTCTTGACCTGACAACTTTTTCTACTCCTCTAACTTGAAATGTTGCAATATAGCATATTTCTCATACACGAATGATTAATCACACATATGATTATGCACATCCTTTGACGTATTATTATATATTATAACATCAACATGGTAACAGTGTTTAAATCCATTTGTTGAATTTCGTGTGAATGATCATTTTCACTAGGTATATGTCAGTATCACAACAGCTGACGATTGTCAATTTCGACTTTCCAGTCAATTTCATTGAGTTTTCATACACCTCAAATAATTGACTGCGGGCTACAAATAAAATGCATATTTCTTCAACATCGGGTGATTGCTGTACCATAAGAAATGGAAACATCTTCTAATTCTCCAACTCGAGCAGACAAAAAATTCGACTTTTACTGCTAACAAACGTCGTCTGGGTCCGCTCCTGCTCCCACTTTACCTTATTTCATCGATACGATTAATTTTGTGGATAAGAGCTGGAACCTTTCACCGCTTTAAAGTTCGTACTTTCGTACAATCACATATCTCTTTCTGGGTTATCGAGTCTGCTAGGATTCCTACCCAACTTCTTTGTACGTCAGATCTTCTTTATGTCTCCTTTGCAATAATTATTGTTCTGCAGGATTTGTCGTCTCACAATATTCCCTAATTTAGAAATCAGAAGATATTTGCTGGAATGAGGAACATGGAATCAGGAAAAGGATAATAAAATCAATGAAAAGAATCAAAATCCGAACATTCAGGCGAATTGAATGATAATCATTTACTTCCTTCTCAGGTTTAGAAATGAGGAAGTATTGAGCTGGAATAGCATAGAGAATTATTACCTAAGGCATTGAAACTGATTCATATCGCAAGCAATGGTTCCATCTGTCATATTTTTCCCCTCCCCGCATTCATCTGTTATAATAACTTAACCATGCATACGCATACCTACGTAATAGTTTTCCCAGGTAGTTGAATGAAAATATTCCACTGTCAGATACAATACGTCAAAATGTATCCGGTGCTAATTGTTCAGTATCCATTCTGACAGATGTGGTGGTGGTTCTGTCAAAACTTCGTAATTTTATGTGTAATTTCAGACATATATAGCTAAATTCTAATGCTTGGATTGCGTTTTCGAATTATAACGTTGTTTCCTATTAAAATCGGAAATCGCACATCAAATACATTTATCATCGAAGCTGAATATGATTGCATCAGTTATAAGCATTCAGTTCAATTCATTATTTACCAATAATTACGCTGAGTATAATCAATGGTATTAGTCTCGTTCCATTGAAATATAAAATAATAGAGACATTGGAATCATTTTAATTATTGAAAAATATCGTTATCATTGATGGATGATTGTGAGAAATATTTGAGGGAATTCAGTGGAATCCGCAGCTTTTATTTTTGTTCGCGGTGAAAACAGAATGATACACAATAATATTGTTATTAATTTGCGAGGTAGTTTGCTTGTATCAAATATTTGTATAAAAATACCCAATCGTTGAAGCTGCCAATTGAGGATATTAAATTTCCCGTGTTTCCAAATGAAATGCAGAGGATTTTCTACTGCAGAATATTCAATTTATCAGCGAAATATCCATTTACAGATGTAGCGGAGGATGGAGTTGATTACTTTATTTTCTATCTCAGTTTAATTCCTTGCAATAACAGATACGTTTCGTATAGTGGGTACTCGGGACACATTGTTTTTACTTGAGTGCGATTTGACTATATATATACAATTTTTTCTACTCCTATATCGCGATACGCGAATGAAATAGATTTTGGCCAATGAAAAAGGTACTTTTCATTATGAAATGAATTTTTGGTCTATGGAAACATGTACATACTTCGGAATGAATAATAAAGTGTTCTATGTTTCTACGAACTTGTTTGTATTGTTTGCCACTCAATTTCAATCACAACGCGTCTAAAGTACATCAGAAAATTCATGGAATATGTTGAAATATACATTTTAGAAAATTGATTGTTGTTTTAATTTCATCATCAATTGGTCTTAGATCAAGTAATGGCTGTAAATACACGAACACGAGGAAAGTGTCGATACGAGCCGAAGGTGAGTGTCGTAAACCGTGTTCGTACATGATCGTTGTATAAAATACTATGTTACTTCCTCATTTGGCGAAACAGGATGGATGGAAAATCTTAGGACTTTCTACTAGAAGGCATTTACCATTTCGGACCAAAAGAACAACGCCCATCAGGTAATAGCGTCATACTTATTTTCAGTTTTTGCTGAAATCAATTTATTCCGAGCTCATCAACATAGTTCAAATGTTTTATTATCCTGAAAGTGGAGAACATGACACAAATAATCAAGACCTACTGCTGAATGGGAACGAAGTTGTACTCACCGAGGGTGCTAGCCCCTCTAGCTGTACTCTTCATATTATTCCCTAATAGCTGTAATCCATGACTGTGGCCTTCGTCATTGTTATGGTTATATATTCTTCGACGACTAGCTAGTGGCAACCTGAAATGAGTATAGCGACTACTTCCGTTGCAGCATAATATATATCGTCAGATAAGGATTCACAATGTCAGTTCATTTCATGTCATCGGCTCGCTCATACTGACCCACTCACTTAGAAGAACGTGTTCTGAGGCGTTGGGGTCAATGACATAGACAAGTGCTATTATTCTGACTAACCATCAGAATACGAGCTACAAAGGCTTCCCTGACCAACATTCAGTATACGAGATACGAAAGCTCCTCTGACCAACAATCAGAATACCAAGTCTTAACACACAATGGGATCTATACTATAATATTTAAAAGAGGAAACATTTGTTTGTGCGTTTGTTTGTATGGAATAGGCTCCGAAACTACTGGACCGATTTAAAAATTTCATTCGGCATTTGTTGGTGCAAATATTGTCTACTCATATATTCTTGTTCTTTCAGGTATATGACAGCTTTATACGACAGCAACCCTCACATGTTCCTGCGTTCGGCCTTGGGAAGGCCTCCCAGCGCCGAGAGCGGTAGCTACGCGACGATAGCGAGCGTCCATAAGGGCCCTCCGTCGCCGTGTCCTTATGCCACCAGCGATAACTGCCAATTCTACGCCAACAGCGACGCGTGCAGAGTCTCCTACTACGCCTCGTCGCAGATCATGCTGATATCGCAGGTATTTGACGCGTTGGCGAGTTATAAGCGACCCCCACCACTACCATTATATATTATCATGCAAGCGTCCCCACTTCTGCATTGAAACTAGCGGTCGATGCGCATTAGCATAGTCGAGCTTGACGAATGTACGAAGAGGCTCAGCGGTATATTTACGTCGTATCCCATGATTTTTGGGGATAGGGGATAAAGGATAGGTAGGTACAGATGAATTGATGTAGACCTTCAATTTATCTACTTCCTGACATCGAAAGAATAATTGATTTGCCTCACAGGAGTTTTTTTTTCTTCGTGAATCAACAGATTCATTTTCAATAGTATCTGAAAGGATATAGGGAGCAGAATATAAAGTATATGAATTTCAAATTGAACACCATTTTCTCATTATTGAAAAAGTCTTTCGAAGAGCTTTCCAGAAATACCCTACTCAAAATAATTTTCTTCCTGATCGCATTTTGAACATTTTTCGAAAGGAAGTCATGATATATTATTTTATATCCTGGAACGCACAGAAGGGAATTCTATAATATTCGAGGAACATCGCTGGAGGATAGAGAGAAATGATAGATATTGGATTTTTTGAACATTTGAAGGTTATAAGTTCTTCGGAATACTTCTTTTGACGTTCTATAGATAAACGAGTTTCAGTAAAGATTCGTTCGACATATTTCGAGATCAAAGATAAAAAGATGTGCTGACTGGGCCTGTCGAGAACGTCTGACTCGTAAATAGTGATTGAATGATAGTAGAGATTCCTGAAGAACATTTCCCGTGGAAGTATCTATAGAAAAGTGAAGTGTCGCCGACTTTTGGATGCGAATTCAGGTATAGTCGCTGTATCGCTGCCTATGACATTTAATTCTCATTGGCGGTGATCAAATCAAATCATTTAAAATGAACTCGACGAAACCCTGTCAGTTTTGAAACTCCAAAAAGTATATTGAGTGGAGTATTTTTTGAAAGCTCTTCGAAAAGTCTCTCCAGTGGTGAAGAAATATCATATAGGGTATTCAATTTAAAATCCATAACTCTTTGCTGCAAACTGCATATCTCTCTAGTGAAAATGTATCAGGTGGTTCGAGAACCGAAAGAAATCTCCTGTGAGGATGTTTTTCATTCAATTCTCTACTGACAAAAATAAAAATGTAATAGGGGGTGATGCATTATAACAGGTACATATATTGCATTATCAGCTATCGGGATTTGTTAATTTTGAAGGCAGAAAATAAATTGAGATGATCAAACAAATCTGAAGTAGGGAAAGAATAACACAAGAAGTTTTTTTCTTTCCTCAGTGGGTCCAGAAAAAAGGATCGATAAATTGGATTAACTGAAGTGAATTCATTCTTTTCTTAAATAAGTTTCACTATGTGTAGATTTCTCCTCAAGGTTTTGGTATGATACCATTGCAAATCGACTTTTATATGTCGTGTCATTTATCATCTTTGAACAATATATTACAGGGTGATCCAATTATATTCATGACCGAACTTTCTCAGAACAATACTGTACTTATTTCCTTTTCCTAATAATATAATATGTCCAGGGCCGTTTCGTATTCATATAGATATTTAAATGATCACCATGTTTATGTCTTCAAAATTTAGTTTGGTCGGTGACTGACAAATTTTCAGAATTTTGAATCTCGACTGTTATTTTGAGTGCACTCAAACCAAGTTTTTTTTTTATTCAGCAGAAGGTGATCCCATGCATATTTTCTCATAAAAATGGTATGAAATATCCATCGCTATACCTATATACCTTCTTAGCAAAAAACACATGAATGCATAAACTGGTATTCGCATTCGAATTTTCAGTTTTTCACAACAATTTTCATTTTCAATCTTCCGAAAAAAATGAAATCACCCTGTACGGAAGGAATATATTTCGTCGATGTTGCGAACAAGAAGGGTGAAGATACTTCGGGATGTATGAAAAATGAGTTTGGCATCCAGGCCATCTGACGTCGGGAAGTTTTTACAAGTTTTTCAGCCGATAGCTGCTTAAAGACTTTGAATGAAAGACACTTTTCTTGCCGCGAAAGTCGATTGGCCCTGACAAAACATAGGGCCTCGAAGGGAGAAGAGAGAGATGGAAGACGTATACTGACTGTATTGTTATACCCTTGTTCTCCAGAGATGAGTTGCGTTTTTACATTTTTTACGATTGGACGGCAATTTCCGTTCGAGGAAACTAAATAATGTTTCAATTTTCTGGTAACATTATCTTTGTACAGAGTGTCCCATAAGTACACGACTAATATACAGGGCGTCCCTAAAAGGTCTTTACAAAAACCTACCGCGTATTTCTCAGACCAAAACAATTCGATACAAACAAACTTACCTCAATACAACGTTGCTCAGTTTGGACGCTAGACGGCTCTGGAGTTACAAATTTCGAATTGTTTTTGCTTCATAACTCTGAAACGGCTCATGAAATTTCACTCATATTTGGTATGTTGGCAAGGCTTCATTGGGCAATAAACCCCATATCATGATTATGATGGATATATGGGCGTAGATCTTTATTTCTTCAGTAAATAAACATCTGAAACTTCTATACTTCATTGGGAAGAAAGGTGTTTGAATATGATATTTGCATTGCGTAACGTGTTCACTACAAAAAAGTACTCCTGATTGAATTGGTCTCATCAGTCACGACTAAAACGGTCATCCGATATTTCATAAATATCGTTCAAAATGTTCGTCTTTCCACGTATACGAAGATTTATACGACGAAAAAGATGGATACAAGCTCTGGCTCACTCATTACAAAAAAAAACAACAAAAAATATTGCTGATAGCACCTTTCTTTTCGTCGCATAAGTCTTTGTATACGTAAAACTGACAATTTTTATCGCTTAATCGTTCTGATGCTTTTGATTACTAAAATTTTAATTTTGTCGAAACCATGAGAGTATTGGAATTTTATCAGGATAACCTGTTTGTAGTGAACTAGTTACGCAATTCATATTTAAACGCCTTCCTTTCCATGATGATGGTTTTATTGCCCAATAAAGCTATGTCAAGCCAACATACCAAATTTGAGACAAATCTCATAGGCCGTTTCAGAGTTATGAAGCAAAAACGATTTGAAAATTTCAACTTGTGTAATATGTGGTAAGTTTTTGTACTTTTTAGGTACACCCGGTAGAACATAAAGGAATAATACTGGGAGTTCTAATTACGGTTTTTAGAGTAGTTCTGAAATATTTTAATTATACCATCCGATGTCCTCAACAATTTTGCATCATGAAGGGACACAAAGTAACTGCCTCCACCAAAATTTCGAAGGACAGTATCAAATTACTTTTATATTCCTGCTCAATAATTTCAACAAACTCGCACACTTTCCCAACATACCAATTTACGGAATCTCATCATCATGAATCAATCTCAAATCAGAAATGTAAAATTTTCGACTCACTAGGTACCTATAGTGATAACGAAAACGGTGTGAAAATGTCCTTTCAAATTTTGGTGGATGCTCTAAGAATGTGCTCATCAATTTTCGTGAAGTAAATGAAAGTTTTTTGTTCTGGGAAACATGAAAATATATCTAGATTACCTAACAACAAATTTGCTTGGGTTCAACAATTCAACATTAAGTATCCTAGTTTTATATATTCATCACAAATATATTTTTCATCACAGCAACTAATTGAAAGTAAAATATGAAAATGATATGGAAATGATCAACAGAACAGAATTTGTTGAGCTTCTAGCATGTTTAGTTTCATCAACAACATGGTGTTGCGTATTGCTGAGATTGATATCAAATGAAAAAAGATGAAGTAATGTGTTTGGTGAGTGAAGAAACTTCTATCTTGTATTTTGATATAATTTCTATTGAGATTATTTCTTATTGTCGAATACCCACTGAATGTGCTATTGATTGAATAATGGAATGATTCATACTTCGTCACGTCTACTTCAAAAGTGAAATTGATTCAATTCAAATATAATCTTGTCGATTTGAACATTATGTATCGTGTTAATTCTGAAACTATTCATTCTGCCCACAATGGATGGATGAAAACAACGAATCCTCTTTTATCCATCTGTATTGTATTTTGATCGGAACAATTGACAGTGGGGGTTTCCGTGTAGGGAACAACGTAACGATGAAGCTATTAGGTATCTCGTGTCTAGTCGGATCACGCAAAAATTGGTAGCGGTAAGTAATTATTGTCGGGAGAAAAGTATAATCGGTTCGAATCCTCGAGAGAGTTTGGTATTTTCTTGATCAAAATAATAAGACAGACAATCAAGGAAGAGCCACGGACGCTCGAGAAATGCGTCTTCGTGCGACTCTGATAGCTCTATCTCCATGACTAAGGCACTAATCCTCTGGGAATTCAGGCAATACTATTTACTCTAGACATCGAATTTCCCTTCTCTCAATAACGTTTCCGGAGCTTATCTGTTTTTCACATAAGAGCACCCGCCAGATTTGTGTAAAATCAATCAACCACTGCAGTACCAGATATAATGTGAAGAGCCGGGCTGAAATTAATAGCTTTTCGTAATGGCATTAATAAAATATCGAACCGATTGTTGGTGTCCTTCGGCCCCCCTTTTAATCTCTGAACTTTGACAGTTATCGGAAAGATATGAAAACGACGAGTATCTCCATTTTGGGGGCAAAGTTGATGGAAATTAGTTGGGGATTATTCTTGGTTTGTGTTCGCGTATCGTGATGTAATTGAATTTTCGTTCAGATCTCCTGAGGCATTCTCGATAATTATAGGCTTTTGGCGTGCTTTGTTTAACCAGGTTACGGGATTATCTCCTCATGAATTAATAATAGGGATTTGAACAGGGGTCTAAAATATATGGAGCGCTTTTTTAAATGACACTGCATCGCAACGTGTCAAGTTTAAATGGAAATAAATGATTGATTGATACTAATACTTTGAAATGAGTCATACTCAATAATTACATTTGAATTTTTCTCCATTTTTCTTCTTCCTACTATATTTCAGAATATTTTGATAGATTTTATGATGATTATCAGTTGTGCAAGTTGTAAATATTCCAAAGTGCAAATGACAACCATTTCGATGCTTGGTATTATTATCAGCAATAACCTTTCTTGGGGAAATCACGTGAGATCAATTGCTAGAAGTGCATCCCAAAAACTCGGTTTTCTGCTTCGGGCCAGGAGCTATTTCACTTCCAGTCAGCTGCTTATGATCTATAAGGCACAGATCCGACCTGTCCTGGAATTCTCTTTCCATATTTGGAGTGCAGCACCCAAACATACCCTGAAACTGTCCAAAAAAGGGCAATTCGTCTCGTGGGTGATGCCTCGCTCACAAACTCACTCACTTCTCTGGAACACCGTGAAAAAGTTGGCGATCTGGCTCTATTTTATAGATATTTTCATGGAAGATGCACTTCTGAAATATCAACAATTGTACCTCCCTTGGCAGATTAACCCGTTGAGTTGAGGGATCGCACCCCTTCGTGCGGACACTTAGGAGACCTGCAGAATATCTCTTTCCAAAGACTCGTTCATCCAACGAACAGCGAGGCTCTGGAACACACTGCCAAGGAAGGTGTTCCCCGAGGCATATAACCTCAAGAAATTCAAGAACACCAATTCCTTCCTCATTTCCCTTGGTACTCACGATGTTCTCTGAACATTACAGGATATCCCTTTTCGTGGGAACCAGAACATAAAAAAAATATATAAGAATCTTTCTACCAATAGTACCAATTCAATCGCGATCAATTTCGGAACGTGAAAAACAATGAAAAAAAGTTCTAACTAGTATATTGATATGCTCATGAGCTATATTAATACCGTCTCTCGGTCTCTATGTATACTATTTTCATCGGCAGTATAATTCAGTCATCAACTTTACGTTTGCTTAGGATATAACTTCGCATAAATGCATCATAATGCCTGTCTATTTTCCCCTGTTTGTCTTACTACCACCACCCATATCGAGAATAATAACCCGCTTTCGATGTGTGCTGAAAATTTGTATATTATAATACTTTCCACCAGTGGTGTACATTTGGGAAATTTTCTCGGAATTAGGTTGGAGCTGATTTCATGATGAATAAGTAGGTAAAAAAAAAATTGTTCTAAATTTGTTCTATCCGTCATTCGGTTGCCCCCTTACGAGCAACCCTCAGAAGTCTTCGAGAGTCTTGTGCGAGCTAGCTATGACGGGGGCCTTACCTTTTAACGTGTGATCCCAAACACTTAAGGTAGAGGTAATGAACTTTCGGAAAAATGTGAGAGATACTTGACTTGACAAAAATTCACGAAAAAAATATGATTCACAAGATAATAGTCCCATCCCTGTAACCTTATTACATCATGACATACAATCAAGTGTATACTTTTGACATATTCGTTTCAACTATATACCTACCGGAAGTGATACAAACTTCTGTTTTCCAAGTGCCACCCTGTATATTTTATTATTGGTAATCGTAATCTATACATAAAATTTTCATGAATGAACATTTCATCCGATAGGACAGATAGTTTTCGAGATATCGGTGCTCAAAGTCAGCTCTTCGCTTTTATCGCCAATAGGAGCACTCCGGTAGGCTACCACGTCTCCATTTTCAAAAATTTCCTGATTTCCACCACATATTCGTTTATTTCGACATCGAATTAGTGTATGTGATTTTTTTTTTGATTTTCAATAGGCCAAATAAAAATTTTCATTTTCTCACCTGAGACATCAGTACGATAGAGTCAACGAGATATCTTCGGACGGCCTAAAGTGCCAGAAAATAGGGAAAATCCACGCGAATTATCGCATTTTCATCAGAAAATGACACGCTGAATCGAATGAGACCATGATCAGTCCGATAGGACAAATAGTTTTCGAGATATCGGCGCTCAAAGTCAGCTTTCCGCTTTTATTGCCAATAGGAGCACTCCGGTAGGCTACTACGTCTCCATTTTCCAAAATTTCTCGATTACCACCACAGATCCGTTCATTACGATATCGAATTAGTCTATGTGAATTTTTTCAGATTTTTAATAGGCCAAATGAAAATTTTCATTTCCCCACCTGAGACTTCAGTACGATATAGTCACCGAGCCATCTTCGGACGGCCTAAAGTGCCAGAGAACGGAGAAAATTCACGCGAATTATCGCTTTTTCAGTAGAAAATGACACGCTGAATCGAATGAGACTATGATCAGTCTGATAGGCCAAATAGTTTTCGAGATATCGGCGCTCAAAGTCGACTTTCCGCTTTTATCGCCAATAGGAGCACTCCGGTAGACTACTACGTCTCCATTTTCCAGTATTTCCTCATTTCCACCACAGATTCGTTCATTACGACATCGAATTAGTTCATGTGAATTTTTTCAGATTTTTAATAGGTCAAATAAAAATTTTCATTTTCCCACCTGAGACTTCAGTACGATATAGTCACCGAGCCATCTTCGGACGGCCGTGAGTGCCAGAAAAGTTGGAGGTCATATCTCAGATATTTGATATTTTCAACAAAAACTGACAAAAGCATTCAAAAGATCAGTCAGAAGTACTATATTAGAATGTAGAAGTCGTTTCATCATACCATCAATAATTTCGAGAAGAACGAAAATACAAAATTTAAGTTTTTCTTGAATAACTCAAAAACGACTGAAGCTAGTCATATGACTCTGAATCAAGATTGAATTTGCTGAAAGTTTCCGACTCTCTATTTCTCATAGTTACTGAGATCTCAATGGTGAGGATCGAATTCGGGACAAGATTCTGAATTCAGAGAAAAAAGTCTGAATTCAGAGAAAAAATTTCTGAATTCAGAGGAAAAAGTTTGAATCCATAGAAAAAAATCTGATGAATTTAATGATTAAATAAAATACACACAACAGTGACCTATCTGCGCTTTCGTACTATGAACAAGAGAATGTACGTACCAAAACGTTCGGAGAAAAAATCTGAAGTTCATTATTTTACTTTTGGATTCAGATTTCCATGCAGGATCCACGACATTCCGAGCCGAGCAAACGGTTGCGGTCTCTATCGGTGCTTCGCCACACTATAAGTTTGCAGCGATTGGCGGAAGAAGGCATCTTCGGCAAGATCTACGAAGGCACATACAGGCAGCACTCAGTGATCGTTAAAACTACGAAAGGTTCGTTACTTTGCTGTGTTTCCATTCTTTCGGATTTGCCCTAACAGGTGTCGGTAGTTAAAAAAAATCTATGGTTTATGAGAAATCGTTGAACAAAAAACAAAATCAATCGACTCCTTTCATCTTGGTTCTCTAGGTCAGTGCAAAAATATGATTTTTCATACTCCCGAAAAGTTTAACAGAGAGGGATATGGTAGAGAAACAACTTAGTACTCCAGTGTCTAATGCCAATCAGTATAATATATTAGAATACTGATTGCAAGTGTTCTTTTCCTATACTGGGTGATTTTCCAAGGTGGCTATCCTCTATTCTGAACCATTTTTATTACTGAAGTAAGTAAAGCAACATTTAGGAGTTGGCATTTGTTGACATATTTATAATTGCTTTACCGTACTTTCGGTTTGACCGGACCTGACCCCCAACTTTAGATTCCTAAATGGGACACCCTGTATGTTATTCCATAATCGTTTGAAATAACCCTATCAAACTCGGCAAAGGTATCGTTGATTTCGTTATGATCATCCCTAATTGATTTTGGAATAACATACAGGGTGTCCCATTTGAGATTCTGAAGTTGGGGTCATTTCTGGTCAAACCGGAAGTACGGTAAGGCAAGTAGATATGTCAAAAACCAAATATCGTTTGACTACCTTGAATGATAAAAAGTTTATAGGGGTGAGACACCTTGGAAAATCATACAGTATATGCCAGTTTCCTATCAAATTGTAGCCAGGTGGCGCTCGACACCTACAGACCGGTTTCGGTAGTTTTTTTTTCATCATCTTTCATTGTTGTTCATTTTATTGAATACTTGAGGATATATGAGTTTGAGTTTGAGGGTTTCCGTCTCTGTTGACATTTCTTTCCACTTTGAGCATTTTGGCCATTTTGTAGTTCATTAAATATAATTAAAAAAATATTACCTACATCGGAAAGGATTACCTTATGGTTTGTTTAATCTATGCCCTAGATTAGGTATGGGATTAATATTTTGGAGGAAAAATAATTATTGTAATCTAAACAGAATTAAAAACGCAGACCTCATATGATTCAACTCATCAGAAAGAATTGTTTTCCCGAAAAAAACATGGGATCACATTTGAAAAAATGAGACTCAAACTTTCTATACCTAATAATAAAGTATGTTTATTGATTCTCTTCAACATTCATAAATTTTAGTGCATTCTTCCATATTCTTCGAATGACAATAATAATATTGATAAAAATAATAATAATGGAATGTCATTTCGTGCGCTCCAAGAGATAAAAGCAAATGGATATCTACCGAAGTCCTTCAGCCAGTGGGAATGTTTACTTTTATTTTACTTCACAACTTGTTTATATACAGTATGATGCAAATGTATGGAATAAATTCATTTCAAAACAAGACGACTTTCGAAAAAAAAACAAAGACTAGAGTTTAGAACTTTTTGCAAGATTCAATTAATCACATGATAATCCATTTTAATTTCAATCTTCTTATTCAACAGTTTGACTGTTGAATAGACGATCGGTAGACCTTTCAATCAAGGTGTCACATGACCCCTATTTGTATTTGAAAAAATCGTCCATTACGTCTTTACTCCAACACCGGTGACGTAACATCTTTCATATGAATATCATGAGATGAGGCTTCAGAAATTAAACCTCACGTGTTTTTGGAATTTTTTCAAATGTCGCCCATTTCTGAAATAATGAATTTATTCCATACATTTGCATCATACTGTATAAAAGTAGATAATAAAAATTCGTGAAAAAAAAATTGAAAAAAATTTATTCAATCTTGATCCCGAATGTTTGTGATTGCTTCTTCGATGAATTTCCTTGACTTAATGTCTTCAATGATTACAAAAAAATGGAAAAATAAGTGAAGTGATGAACACTTCTTTTCAAATTTTGAAATAATGTTCAAAGATTTCTACTGTTGCTTTGATGATATAATATGAAATTCAAAATATTTTCGCATATTTTGATGCAACATGTTCTTATCTCAAAATGATCCAGTAGTTTCAATTATGTAGATTCCATGTATATATATACAGATGTGGGTATACAGATTTTGGTGAGAACTCTTCAGATATGGAAAAGAAAATTTGTATTCCAATAAACAATATCTGAATTTTTTGGCAAATTTGCGACTAATTAATACCAAACATTAAAACATCTGCAGAATATTCGAAAATATATAAGATAACAGTTTTCTGATGTTGAGAATTTGCATTTAACTATAGAATTTGAATGATACTGATGAATTCTACTTTTCACCAGAAAAACTTGGTCCTTCCTTGTTTAAAAAAAATAAACAGTCAATAGATATTCGCATTATCGTATGCACCCATCGTAAAATTCGTGTTTTTTTCCCAACAGAAGCGGCATCCAAAAGGCTAGTTAGTTTATTCTTGGCAGAAGGGACAATGATGTATGGCTTGGAACATAAAAACCTTCTGACCATCTTATGTGCAAATTTAGACGATCCCAAACAGCCATTACTCGTCTATCCTCGGTCTAATAGGGGCAATTTGAAGAGGTAAGTTTACGCAACTCCCAAATGAAATTCGCCTTTTTATTACTGACATAGACGCAACATGAGATTTTATTTGGTTACGTGTTGGATCTTAATGAATTTCGATTTAATTCCAGGGGTTCTTATGAGATAAGTACAGTCAATAAGGAAAAAATAAGGAATTCAGGAACATGAATACTTTTTACGCGGGTGGGGGTGAGCAATTCTTGATTACAAAATATGATTGAACAACTCATTATAAAAATATTTTGAAAGTTTCTATAACATCAAATTTCACATTCATTTGTTATTTCAATTATTTCATTCAGATTTTTATTCACTTCAGGTTTTGCTGCAATTTGTGATTTTGAGGAAATCTTTAATCCTCTGATAACCCGACTTTTTTGGGACAACATTACAAATGTAGGAAATTTCAATTCAATTTGACCTGTTTAGGGTCATCTCACAGTGTTACAATCCATTATTATGGAAAACATCTTATTCTTTCAATACGGAAACGTTTTTTATTTTGTGATTTTCATTAGATGAGTTCAGTAATCATCTTTATATATACAGGTTGTTACCTTATGAAACGGATAAATCGCTACCTGAACCGTGAGGTGAATTAAGTTATCACTTTTCAGAAATACGAGGGGTTTGTTCTTTTTTTTACGAAAATATCGTTAAATTTTTTCATCTATAATGGTGCCGTTGTTTGAAGATGAAAAACGATTGATCAATTCAATTCATGATTTTATCAACTCATTCGATTCCCAGTTTGTTCTCTTGGTTTTTTTTAAGTATTACACAGTGCTTCGTAAACTACTGAATCTATGCATTTTTAGCCAGACTGTCAATTTCTGAGGATTTTACAGAAACAGGTCGATTTTAAAAGCTTTTATTTAATTTAAAATTTATGTCTGTTTAGGTTCGGGTGGAATCTTTGAACTCAATTTTGAAGTAGATATCTTCAACCGATTGAGCTGAAATTTTGTATACAGGTTTAGTTTGGATGACAAAGCACGATAAAGTGCGTGGAGTTATTCCAAATCCAATATGGCGTTTGAATTCTCAAAATTTCAGTCTAATTAAATATTGATTATCGGGACAAGCTTTCATGATCATATAAATTGTGCATGATAAGGTAATAAGTTGATAGTTGAAATTTATAAGGAAAATTCCATTTTCTTCTTTTTAGAGCGTTCCAATAAAAGCTTTGTCAATTTTTTTTTACTTTCAATTAATTTATCCTCTTGCCACATTCATACGCAAAAATTTAATATACAGGGTGATCCACGTTATTATTTCATTCAATATATGACATCTCCAAGGAGGGCTGGATTCAAAAAAAAAAAAAAAAAAGTGTTTTTAACCGCCAGCTTAGTTGCAAAGCAACCCTCGAAAGTCAGAGACTTGTGTGAGTTAAGAAGACGGGGACCTTAGCTTTTTAAGTGTCATCCGAAGCACTACTCGGCTGGTAACCGTGGACAGTCCAAAGGATTGATATCTAGGTACCAAGAATGTTGGGTTGGCCACCTATCTCCTCCCGCCCAACGAAACTACCGAAAATTAATTCAGTGCTCGCGCCGGGGATCGAACCCGGACCGCCTGGGCAACAGCCAGCGACTCTACGCTCACGGCCACCAGCCCAGCGCAACATATCAGTCAGGATTTGCACTGTGCGTTCGTTAAATTCAGAGCTCTCGTGAAGTACCTAATGGATAAATTCGTAAAAAAAATTAAGGAATATTCGGATGGAACGTTCACCGGCGAAATTCAATTTGGGAATTTGTGTTGGAGAAATGATTTCTTCACTTTTATTAGTAACGACCCCTTTCACGTGAACTTTTGCGTGATATATGTTTGAATTCAGTTTTCCATGGAGCTTCCAAAAATGTGCTATATAAGGTATTGGTATTGGTATTGGTATATAAGGTGCTTCATTCTAGAAAAATTATCGGATAAGCTATAAATAAAAATTCTCAATTTTTCAATACCGATTTTTTCAAGTCCATTTTTTTTTTATTAGTGCAGTGAGTCAGTGAAATATGAATGCATTACGCTGAACCACAACGGAGAAAAATGAAATGATATTTTTTCGCCAATAACCACTTGTATATTATGTCTGAGATGAATGATGAATTCTCAATTCAACAAGAAACTTTTTTTTTTCGTGCGGTTTTTGAACATGATTATTATTTTTTTTTCGTGAGGTGCCTACCAATCATTCCACCCTTAAAGTTTTTTCCCCAGTTTTAACCCTCTTTTACAATTCGATTTCTACGCCAATGGCCCTTCCTGTAATAAAACCGTGCGTTGCAGTTTTATGACAAACAAATTTTTTTGCTTCCAGATTTCTCGTTAAATGTCGACAGAAGAAATACAACAATATAATTTTATCCACACAGAATTTAGTCGATATGGCCATTCAAATTCTACTGGGCCTCATGTATTTACATGGCCAGCATATTTGTTACAAGGACCTCGCAGTACGAAATGCCGTGTAAGTTGATATACAGGGTCGCTCATTTTTCGCGACTGTTGAAACATCCTAGATACCACAAAATGTCATTCATATAACGTTTATAGGATATTCTCTAAGAATATTTCAATATTCTCATGTTACAAATATTCTAGGGACGTTCTATGAACATTCGGAATGGGCTGTTTTAAATATTCTGAGAATATTCGTGAAATATCATATAGGAGAAGGAAGGAAATTTGAAAAAGGATTGCTCTGGTAGAGATGCGAACCCACTCTCGTGACTCAATTTTTCTAACCTTTTACACCTTTTCCACTCTGCTACGAACTTTATTGATGAATAATATGAATAGCAATATGAATACACTTCTTGACTACATTATAAATCACATTACATTATGAATATTGTACAAGAATAACATCAATATCATATTCCGATACGATTCTGAATATTCTCAGAATATTCTGAATGTTCTGAATGTTCAAAGAATTTTCTGCAACATATCCTAAAATGACTATATTTGAACGTTGTCAGAATATTCATAGAATATGTTCTGTGCTGTTTGGGATATTATCTATTTTTCTTTTTTTTTTCTAGCGTGGATGAAAAGCTGCAAGTCAAGATAACGGACAATTCTCTCTCACGTGATCTGTTTCCGAATGATTATTTTTGTATGGCTGATCAGGAAAGTAAGCCAGTGAAATGGATGGCTCTGGAGAGTTTACTCTACAACCAATATGGCGCCGCATCTGACGTGGTAAGAATCTTTTTTTCATTATGAATCTGATTTCCTTTTCCATTGTATGACTTTGAAAATCGTATAAAAGTGTTTCCTTACTGTTTTTCGAAATCCTTTGGGAAAACTTCTTCTGAAAATGGAAATTCTCACATCTTTGTTGTAATTTTCGAAACGCAAATCAACCCTGGATGCATTGCAATGGATTTAATTGACACGCTGTATATATAGTCGAAAACTCAATAAAAATTTCAAAATAATTTGAATTAATATATTCGTCTAGAAATTAGTCGAATTGAGTACTTATATATCGGTTTCTTCCGTAAGTTAATTAACAAATGAGTTCTGGCAAAACTGCAATGGATTTACTTGACACCCTGTATAGTCGACAACACTAAACTGACTAGACTTCTCAAGTATTTAGAATCAAAATTCGCCTATAAATTCGATTTACTCGATTACGATTCCATCGGCCAGCAGTTTATTTCCAATTTATGTTCGTTTGAATTTTGGAAACCAATTAATTTTTTCGTTTAGAAATTCGACTTCTCAATCATTCAGTTCAATTGGCCAGCAGTTTATTTCATCATACAAAAAAAGGAGTAAATGTTGGTTGCTTTCGTAAATCAACTCATGGTTAAAATAAATTCAAATTCCCAGGCGATCTGTGAATTTTCAACTGCTTGTGTTTAGAATTCGAACTTAATAATTCATAATGCAGTGATTTCTGTTCATGAGAGCTGCTAACCTGCTGAGAGGCAGGTAGAGGTAATCAATCATTCATCTCAAGGATGGAGTGCTTCTCATGGCCACTCCATTCATGGAGTAGGTGCAGAAATTCAAATTATTATGTTCATGCCTCTTTATGAAATGTCTTACTAATACGGAGCTATGCATGACTCGAAAAACTCGACAGGTGAATAGCAGGGCATTAATTATAAAATTTCAATTAGATTATCATGAAAAAAACTGGATAGGATTGTTTTCTCAAAATCGGCAATGGAGGTTTTCGAAATCGTCACCACGACAGCTTCAATTATTTCCGGTTTTTAATTGAAACTAGAGTGGTATTCGGTGAAAAAATTTCACACCGATATTTAAACAAAAAATACTAAGATTTATAAGATTACGCAAAATAACATACAAAATACCGATTATATATAGTTACGCAAAATATCAATAAGGCAGCTGGTGGTAGGTACTATTATTCCTGACTAACTATATTCCCTTAAAGTTGGTGGAAATATACAAGGTGTCCCAAAATTGCTGGGACACAGAGCTACCACGTGTAGAGGAGGTCTAAATAAGTTGATTGGACCCAATTTATTTATGTCCCAATATTTACCGTTTGTTCGTGAGAAGGGTTCAAAGTTCACATGAAGAAAAACATTTTTGTATACGCTGTTCAGAAGTAAGTAAAACGAATTTGATGAAATTTGGCAATAGTGTATTTCAGAGGATTACTTTCCTTTTGGTAATCGAAGAAATCTAAAAGAAATTGTAGAAGGGTTAACACCACCCTTACCCCATTAATTTCACAACTTTCTTAGGGGTCATAATACCGTTCTGAAATTTCTTGAGCTTGAAGACAAATCAATAACCTTCATTTTGTTACTCTTGTAAAAATTTTGTATACCACATAGTTTCGAAGAAAAAAACGTTCCCTCAAATAATGCTACCAGATATTCCTATAGTACAAGTTTAGCTTGATTTCTCAGTTCTTCACAAATCCATTTTACTAAAGTTGGTATAGAAAGATATGGCTCACGTAATATTATTAGGTTAAATAAAAAATGATAAAACGACTTTACAATAAGAGCTCAATCTCTCAGTTTTTCACATAGTCATTTAGCTATTGTTGGTATATATATTATTTCTTACAAGAAACTTATCAACGCATAGAATCAATTCGATGTAATCTAAAGTTAAATTTGAATGTTATCTTACGTATAAACGTCAAAACACTTCCAGTTTAATTTCATGCTCCTTCCCCCAAGGAGTAGAAAAAATTGTCCAGAAACTTGTTCGATTGCTATGGTAACGATATATGAATGCTTTTGATTGGTCGAACATGTTGGGTGTCAAATTTTCATTTGAATACGAGAAAATCAGGATTTAAGTATAGGTAATTCATCATCCCACAATCTAGCAATCAACCAATCCTGATGCAGGATCCGCTGTTGCGTTTGAATCGATAGGGCTGCTCTGCAAAGATGGCGTATGGAGTTGATAACAATAAAAGCTATGAAAAAGACTTTAAACTCAAGTACTTCTGTCGAGGTCGATGGTTTTCTACTAACACGTCTACAAAACATCACATACACCTACTTAAATATAATGTGTGAATTAATGGTGGCTTATAAGATGGCGTATGAGGTTAATGATGAAGCATACACCGAATTCTACGCACACATTCAGTGCTGTCAATAATTATTACAGTTTACAGAAGATTTTTCGCTATATGTCATTCAATTATTCAATTATTATTGATTGAGTATAGTGGTTGAATCATCTCAATCAAGTAATACTACTATCGTCAATTGAACTGTTGATGATTTGGTTTGAAGAAAAAAATAATGACACATTGGCAATATTTCACATTAAAAATATTTGCTAATCGAGTTAATGAAAACAGGAAATTAGGTAGAAACAATCAATTTTACGATTATCAATAATTATACTTATACTATAGTAGCCATTCATTGTCAAGTTTTTCTTTTGATGAAGCATCGATTGAGCTGTTGGTGAGGTCAGTCTGCACTGAAACGTATTCAGCAATAATTTCTTCACGTATGTGGTATGCTTTGAAAGTCATAGATAGTTGAGTACCTTGAAAACTGATATTTTTACTTTTACATTTCTTTTTTCATCGAAGTGCAAGCAAGAGGCTGATGAGAAATATTGTTGAAGGTGCCCATGCCAACTATTTATTTACCTATACATTGTTCAAAGGTGAATATGTATGACGGAAAATTCCAGTAGTTTCACATCCATATTCATTGGTAATTATATGAATGTACAGAGTGAGCGAAATTCGATCTCTCATCCAATATAGGAAATGGATGAACGTTAGCGAAAATTTTGAAAGAGGTTTTTGAATGTGATTGAGTGAGGTCCATCGAAACAAATTTGCATATTTTTCCATATCTGGAAATTGAAGTAATGACGTCATCGAATTATTTTTTCCTAGCAACATATACCTTTTGGGATATTTGAAGAGAGCTTGTTTTACTGAAGATATTTCGTTGGGAAAAAAATTCTTAGGCTCGTTGATATTGCTATGGACTTCAGCAAAAAAAACAAAATGTATTTTCCCATCATTTTGATCTTCTTCGCTTTCCGATATTTTTTTCTGATTACTGTATTTTTTTTGAACCTACTGAAAAAAATTTTATTTCCTTTAAACATTTATTTGCTCATAATTTTCTTAACGAAGTGTTTCTCCTACAAAATTTCTTTAAATATGCCAAAATATGTACAGTGCTTTCGTAAACTACTGAATAAATTTATTTTCAGCCAAATTATCCATTTCTGAGGAATTTCCTGAAACATGTTGAATAATATTTTCAATTTGTCACACTTAAAAGGGAAGATTTAATATACAGGGTGATCCACGTTTGAGTTATGACGACAACGACAATTTTTTTGAATGGATCACCCTGTATACTACCCAATTATTTGAATCAGCATGGAAAACTGAATTCAAAAATGCATTAATCATTTGGTTTGTATACAGGGTATACTATCCATTTCTGAGAAATATTCTGAGGCAAGAAGAATTTATATCTTCAATTAGACACAATCATAAGAGGAAAGCAATTATACAGAGTGATCCACGTTTGAGTTATGACGTATGCGACAAAATTTTCAAAAGGAATTTTTGGAATCTCTATGACGAGCTGGATTCAAAATTATATCACACATTGGATTTGTATAGAGGGCGTTCGTTAAATTCAGTGCACTCGTAAAATGAGATCGCCATTAAGTTGGCATCATATCTTTTTCGTGATCTTTGTACAATCTTATATACGAATATAAAGTCGATATTGGATAGAGCATAATATTTCCCCAACATTAACTCTATATTGGTTCAATATTCAACCAACATTAGTGTTCTTCCTGGGTTTCTTTAATTTTCAACGAATTCATCATCCACAATTTTACAGAAGCACTTGATTTTAACAGACGCATTGTATACAAACTCTATGTGTAATATATTTTTGAATTCAGCTCTCTTTGGAGATTCCTAGAATCGAATAATTTACAAGATGTTTCAATTGAGAAATTATCGCGGACGACACAACTCAAACGTGTATCAACTTGTATATTTAATTACTCCTTATAAATGTGGGAAATTGGGAATGAAAGTCGATATGTTGCAGGAAATTCCTCAGAAAAGAATAGTTTGGCTATACATGAATGTATTCACTTGATTTAACGGACAAACTGTATACAAACCCTCTGTGTAATATATTTTGGAATTCACTCCCGTGGAAATTTCAAAACTTCCATTCCATTTGAAAAAATTGCCGCGGACGTTTAAACTCGAACGTAGATCACCCTGTACATCTGATTTTCACTTTCAAATGTGAAAAATTGAAAATGAAAATCGATCTGTTTCAGTAGATTTCTCAGAAATGGATAGTTTGGCTAAAAATGAATTGATTCTGTACTTTACGAAAGCACTGTATAGGTATTAGGTGTGTTTCCAGAAAAAAATCTGATGACGTCATCACTGCAGTTACCGAATATGGAAAAACAAATTCATTCTTCACTGTGGTTGTGTAGGTTTTTCAGATATTACAGAGATTATTGAAGAAATTCTAATCGTTTTCTGACCTAAAATGAAACTATTCTGGATAATTTCGAAACTTAAGTAATTTCGCATGACATTGAATGATGTAGTATGACTAATATGGGTAGTAGGTATGAGTATTAAAAATGCGCCTTGCGCCTGTAACTTTCATTCATTCGAAATGTCCTTCGGTTTTGAAAGCACTTGGTAACACCTATCGAGAGAA